AAGAATGCTGAGCATGTTGTGTTCTGCTGTTGTCCGGATGGCCCCTTTGCCCAAACACTGATGTGTATAGGTTGTGATCAGGACTGTATCTAGATGCTGGATTGTGTGTGTATATATGTAGGATTCTATATATAGCCCAAGCACTGTGATGTGTAGGTTTTGATCAGGACTGTGTATCTAGATGCAGGATTGTGTGTGTATATATGTAGGATTGTATATACATGGTCCCTTTTGCTGGGCTGGATGGCCCCACAAGGCAGAATTGTGAGCAGGACCGTGTGGCGTATGTGCACAGAGAGCATTTTTGGTTGGATTGTATACGTAGATGTCCCCCCTTGTGGTGGGCGGGATGGCCCCTTTGCCGTGTGTGAGGTGTATGCAGCTTGTGTTTTTTTTTGAAAAATTAGGAATTTGGTTTGACACTGCGTAAGCATTTTCGAAAATACAAGAAATTCCTTTGGCTTGGACAGGAAAATCATGACTTTTTAAATAAAAATGTATTGTTTTTCAGACAAAAACTCCACCTCACAACAGTCCCCTCTCTTGTTTTTTTCTGGAGAAAAAATAGGAATTTGCTTAAACAAAATCCGAAAATAAGAGAAAATCCTTTCTTCAGGGAAGGAAAATCATGTTGTTTGGATTAGTAATTTATTGTTTTTCTTGAAAAATACCTGCATTTGGTAGGAAAATGTATAAAAATCTTCGAAGATAACGGAAAATCCTTTCGTTTGACCATGTTTTTTTTCATAGAAACTCATTCTTTATAGAAAAACATTAAGGAATCTGGTTTCACATCGCAGAAAAAATCGCAAAAAAGAGAAAATCCTTTTTGGTTTGGAAACAAAAAGTGTTTTTTAATAGAATTGTTTTGTTTTTCTTGAAAAAAAGTTGGCGTGATTCTTTTTGTTTTTTTAGTGGTCTGGAAAGGAACATCATGTTTTGTTCATAGAAACTTATTGTTTTTTCCATATAAAATTAGGGACAATTTCGAAAATAAGAGAATGTCTTTTGGTTTGGAAAAGAAAATCTATTGTTTTTGAACAGATTTGTTTGGTTTTTCTTGAAAAAACGGAATTTGGCCTGAGAATTTCAATTTCTTACATTTTTTAGTGGTTTGGAAAGGACCACATCATGTTTTGTTAATAGATTCTTATATTGTTTTCTATAAAAAATTAGGAATTTGGTTTGAAACTGCATAAAAGAATTCGAAATAAGAGAATATCCTTTGGTTTGGAAAAGAAAATATGTTTATTGAATAGATTTTTTGTTCTTATATATTGAAAACAATAGGAATTTGGTCTGAAAATTCTAATTGTTTTATAGTTTTTAGTGGTTTGGAAAGGACCATCATGTTTTTTTAAATAGAAACTTATATTGTTTTTCCATTAAAAAATTAGGAATCTGGTTTGAAACTGCATAAAAAATCGAAAATAAGAGAAAAACCTTTGGTTTGGAAAAGAAATTATGTTTCTTGAATAGATTTTTTTGTTTTTTATCGAAAACAATAGGAATTTGGTCTGAAAATTCAATTTTTTTATAGTTTTTAGTGGTTTGGAAAGGAACATCATCTTTTTTTGAATAGAAACTTATTGTTTTTCTATAAAAAATCAGGAATTTGGTTTGAAACTGCCAAAAAAATCGATTTTTAGGGCAAATCGTTTGGTTTGGAACAGAAAATCTTTTTTTTGAACAGTTTTTTTCAATAAGATTTTTTTCAAAAAGAGGAAGGAATGTGGCTGGAAAAATCTATTTTTTGTTTGTTTTCAACAAAAATATACGGATTAAATAAGAAAAAACATAAAATTTAGTAATTTTGAGCAAAAATTATAAAATTGTTGGCAAAAAATGTGGATTAAATAAGAAAAAAACATAAAATTTAGTAATTTTCAGCAAAACATGTAGATTTGTTGGCAAAGAACAACATTTTTTGTAATTTTTTTAACAAAAATGCATTTTTTTTGAAAAAATCACATTTTTTGTTTATTTAGTGTTTTTTTCATTTTTCAACAAAAAAGTATGTTTTTTTTAAACTATGAAAATGTATACATTATCTTCAAAAGTGTATACATTTTCAAAACAAGCGTATGCATTTTTAAAGAAGTGTATACACTTTCTGTAAAATGTATACACTTTTTTAAAAAGTGTATACACTTTATCGGAAAATGTATACACTTTATTAAAAAGTGTATACACTTCTTGAAAACTGTATACATGTTTTAAAAAGTGTATACATGTTTCACAAAATGTATACATTTTCTTAAAAAATGTATACATTTTTCAAGAAGTGTATACACATTCTTAGAAAATGTATACATTTTTCAAAAAAGTGTATACACTTTTTAAAAAATGTATACATTTTTGAGTCCGTTTAGACAAAATAGATCAAATTTTGTATCATTTTCTTGAAAAACGCAAAAAATGCTCTATGTGCACAAAGGATTTCACATGGATTTGGAGACAGGAGGGAAAGGATTTCGGTGGAAAACAAACGTGCATGTCTGTGTGCTTGGCTCCAGGAAAAAGTCTCTCGCTGCCTCTGTGTATAGAAACAGTCGTATAGACACACAAAAAGAGAAAGAAACGAGAAGCATGGCGCCGAAGAAAGCCGCCGTCCCCAAAGCCAAAGCAGGCCATGTAATGTATGTATATGTGTGTTCAAACGTGTGTTTGTCTGTGTGATATATACAGCCCTTTTCTGCCAGTCCCGAAAAACAAAGCCAAAAAAGAAGAGAAGAACGCCCCCAAAAAGGAGGAACCGAAGAAAGACGAGGAAGAGGAACAGGGCGATGAAGAGGAGGAGGAGGAGGACGAGGAGGACCAAGAAGACGACGAGCAGGAGCAAGAGGAGGAGGAAGAGGAGGAAGACGACGAGGACCAGGAGGAAGAGGACGAGGAAGAGGAGGAGGATAGCCAAGCCAAAAGGAAGCCCTCGGCGAAGGCAAAGGCAAAGGCAAAGGCAACTCCAAAGGCAACCCCAAAGGCAACGGCAAAGGCAAAGGCAAATCCGAAAGCGAAGGCCAAACCGAGCAGCTCTTCCACGGTTCCCACAGGAGGGGAAACCAAAGGTAAGGCAAAAGCCGAACCCAACAAAAAGAAAAGGGAAGTTGAGGATGAGGACAAGCAGGAGCCCAACAAGAAGCCGAAGCAGGAGAAGGAGGAAGCCAAAGGTAAGAAAGCCGATCCGAAGAAGGACAAGGATGCTGAGGAGGACACCAAGGAGGACGGCAAGAAGAAGGTGCCGAAACGGAAACTGTCCGTCTCGGATTG